ATCTTTAAGGTTTTATCACATTATATCAACACCGTCTGCAATGTTTTAGTTAATGCACAATTTAAAGTAATTACATATCATAAGAGGCTGAATGACGTAGGCTACACAGGTTATCAATATCATGCGCATGTTAAACTGTTAAATTTACGATATCGTTTTGCATCTCTGCAAGGATGTTTTGATTGCATTTAACAAGTATTTATGAAGATACATGTACATCTCCGAATTTCTAAACTATTTGGATACATTTATCTTTCTTAGTCACAAAAAGAAACAAGAGGGCCATGATGGCCCTAAGGACGCTCACCTGTATGTAGGCCCCCGGAGCGGGGCCAGTTTAAACCCCAGGGCTTTTATTTGAACAAACTTGGAAGACACCTATAAGAAGACGTTTCATGATGTACACACTTATAATGAAAAACAATGATCTGCCCTCCCCTACCCCCGGCAGGGCCTATTTTAACCAAGGGCTTTTATTTAAACAAACTTGGTATACACCCATACGAAGATGTTTCATGCTAAACATCTAAGCTGTAGCTCATTGTGTTTTTTAAAGAAGATTTTTTAAGTTTTTACTATACACATATAGTTAAAAACAATGACACCCCTGGGGCGGGGCCAGTTTTGACCCCAGGGCTTTTATTTGAACAAACTTTGTAGACACTTACTAGAACATGTTTCATGCTTAATATCTAAACTCTAGCTATTTGGGTTTTTTCAAAGATGTTTTTTAAGTTTTTCCTATACACATATAAGGAAAATCAATGACCCCCAGGGAAGGGCCAATTTTGACCCCAGGGCTTTTATTTGAACAAACTTTGTAGACACTCACTAGAAGATGTTTCATGCTTAATATCTTAACTCTAGCTATTTAGGTTTTTTCAAAGAATACTTTTTAAGTTTTTGATATACACATATATAAGGAAAATCAATGACCCCCGGGGCAGGGCCAATTTTGACCCCACGGCTCTTATTTGAACAAACTTGGTAGACACCCATTAGAACATGTTTCATGCTACATATCTTAGCTCTAGCTCTTTGAGTTCTTTAAAAGAAGATTTTTTAAGTTTTTACTATATACATGTACATATAGGGAAAATCAATGACCCCCTGGGGCAGGGTCAATTTTGACCCCAAGGCTTTTATTTGAACAAACTTGGTAGACACCCATTAGAACATGTTTCATGCTAAATATCTTAGCTCTAGCTCTTTGAGTTCTTTAAAATAAGTTTTTTTAAGTTTTTACTATATACATATAGGGAAAATCAATGACCCCCTGGGGCCCTGGGGCGGGGCCAATTTTGACCCCAGGGCTTTTATTTGAACAAACTTGGTAGACACCCATTAGAACATGTTTCATGCTAAATATCTTAGCTCTAGCTCTTTGAGTTCTTTAAATGAAGATTTTTTAAGTTTTTACTATATACATATAGGGAAAATCAATGACCCCCTGGGGCGGAGCCAATTTTGACCCCAGGGCTTTTATTTGAACAAACTTGGTAGACACCCATTAGAACATGTTTCATGCTAAATATCTTAGCTCTAGCTCTTTTGGTTCTTTAAAAGAAGATTTTTTAAGTTTTTACTATATACATATAGGGAAAATCAATGACCCCCTGGGGCGGGGCCAATTTTGACCCAAGGGCTTTTATTTGAACAAACTTGGTAGACAACCATTAGAACATGTTTCATGCTAAATATCTTAGCTCTAGCTCCATGAGTTCTTTAAAAGAAGATTTTTAAATTTTTACTATATGCATACAGGGAAAATCAATGACCCCCTGGGGCGAGGCCAATTTTGACCCCAGGGCTTTTATTTGAACAAACTTGGTAGACACTCCTTAGAAGATGTTTCATGCTAAATATCTTAGCTCTAGCTCTTTGGGTTCTTTAAAAAAAGATTTTTTTAAGTTTTTACTATATGCATATAGGGAAAATCAATGACACCCTGGGGCGGGGCCAATTTTGACCCCAGGGCTTTTATTTGAACAATCTTGGTAGACACTCACTAGAAGATGTTTCATGCCAAATATCTAATCTCTAGCTCTTTGGGTTCTTTAAAAAAAGATTTTTTAAGTTTTTACTATATGCATATAGGGAAAATCAATGACCCCCTGGGGCGGGGCCAATTTTGACCCCAGGGTTTTTATTTGAACAAACTTGGTAGACACCCATTAGAACATGTTTCATGCTAAATATCTTAGCTCTAGCTCTTTGAGTTCTTTAAAAGAAGATTTTTTAAGTTTTTACTATATACATATAGGGAAAATCAATGACCCCCTGGGGCGGAGCCAATTTTGACCCCAGGGCTTTTATTTGAACAATCTTGGTAGACACTCACTAGAAGATGTTTCATGCCAAATATCTAAGCTCTAGCTCTTTCGGTTTTTTAAAAGAAGATATTTAAAGTTTTTTCTTTTGGTTGCCATGGCAACCAGAGTTCTGCATGGAATTAAATTCTTTGAACAATTTTTAAAGGTGACCACCAAAGGAACATTCCTGTGAAGTTTGGATGAAATTGGCTTAGTGGTTTATGAGGAGATGTCATTTAAAGTAAAAGTTTACGGACGGACGACGGACGGACGGACGCCGGACGAAAAGTGATCACAAAAGCTCACCCTGTCACTTTGTGACAGGTGAGCTAAAAAGAGAAGAAATTATATATTTTCTCCAAGTAATCGAATATCGATTCTGTTAACCAATACTGGACGTCGGATCAAGTAAGCGGTTAACAGTCATCCTTAAAAAAGTAATTGAAATTGTATCACAGAGCTGTACATGGGGTAGCGCATATGAATAAACATCATGATACATGATGGTGAATATTAATATTTTTATGTGAATGAGAATACAAATAACAAGAGCTGTCACAGGAGACAGCGAAGCTCGAACAATAAAATACTGGACGCAGTAAGGAAGACAAAACTATGAAAGAAAAATCAATTATGTATAATTATGTATTAAGTTATAGTAAAACAATAAAATTTGTTAACATAAATTCCAAGATCAAGGGGAATAATTCTAGAAATAGTCATGCTAGAGTTATGAACCTTGTCACGTAACATGTGTGTAATGATAAGAAATATATATTTGAAGTTTGAAGTAGATACCTTAAAAAGTCAAGAAGTTATAATATTTCTTAAAGAAAATCCTAAATTCAAAGAGAGATAAATCTGAAAATATTGCTTAAAGAGTTATGAACCTTATCACATAAGATGTAATTGATGATAAGGAATAGGTATTTGAAGTTTGAATTAGATACTTTTAAAACTAAAGAAGTTATAGTAAAAACTACATTTTTCAAGTAAAAAAAGTTTATGGCGAGATAATTCTTACGATATTGGTACTAGAGTTCTGAACCTCGTCATATAACATATGGTCAATGATAAAGAACATATATATGAAGTTTGAAGTTGATCCCTTTTAGAAATAAATAAAAAAACAGTAAAAAATAGTATTTTTTAAAGAAAATTCTGAGTTCAAGGGGAGATAAATCTAAAAATATTGGTGCTAGAGTTATGAACCTTGTCATATAAGATGTGGTTGATGATAAGGAACATATATGTAAAGTATGAAGTTGATCCTTTAAGAAATAAAGAAGTAACAATAAAAATTATTATTTTTTAAGGAAAATTCTAAGTTCATGGGGAGATATCTAAAAATATTGGTGCTAGAGTTATGAACCTTGTCACATAAGATGTGGTTGATGATAAGGAACATATGCTTGAATTATGAAGTTGATCCCTTAAGAAATATGAAGTAACAGTAAAAATAGTATTTGTTAAGGAAAATTCTAAGTTCAAGGGGAGATAAATCTGAAAATATTGGTGCTGGAATTATGAACCTTGTCACATAAGATGTGGTTAATGATAAGGAACATATATTTGAAGTTTGAAGTTGATACCTGAAGAAATGAAAAAGTTATAGTGAAAAATATTTTACTGCATCAAAATTTTAATTTAAAATCTGGAAGTGGATGCCGACACTGAAGTAGGACAGCTCTCTATATACTTTGTATAGTTGAGCTAAAAATTGAAACAAATTAAATATTGATTTTCCACAATTACAATTATTTTAGAAACATATATATAATGTAATATTACATTAAGCCTTTGCAGCAATGTTAAATGTAATTTCAATGTTTCTAAATAAAATTTATTTCTCACCCTTGTAGTTTTTATTTTCTCATGATACACCAAATATGGACTCTCGTAAAATCTCACTTGAAAGTTCACAGATGATGGATGGATCTTCACCTGCAAGAATTTAGAACAATACTTGAATACTTAAAATAACACTTGAATTTTCTCTTAAGATAATCATGACTATTATTGTGACTGAAGATTGTTGCAAATTGTATAATGCACTAACACTGTGTAATTTAATGGACTCAAATTGTGTAATTGCACACCTCCTGAGTGAGATATATCCACTTATGAAGTTTCATGTTGATATCTGAAAGGCTTTTTGAGTTATGCTCTGGACAATTAAACTCAATTTCAAAGTTTGAAAAATAACAATGGGCAATAACTGAAAAATCATGCAGGATAGAGTTATCATTCATGTGCACTGCACTTCTCCTCAATATGATCTAACACCTATGAAGTTTCAAGATGATACCTCAAATACTTTTTGAGATATACTCTGGACAAAAATGTTGGACGGAAGGACAGACAGACGGAGATTATGTCATCCGCCGCCTTTTCGGTGGGGGATAATAATGACTTAAATTATGAAATAACTCAAATTGTAAATGATAATGGACACAAATTATGTAATGGACAAAAATTGTGTAATAAACTTGATATGTTTAATAGACTGCTAAAGCATACTGTTAGAATATATCCAAGTTATTACCATTGCTAGAATTCATAGACTTCAACACAACTCCAGCAAAACAGCATTGTCATGTTTATTTAATTTTGTAGTATACTTTAGTGTTTTGTAGTATACTTTAGTGTAGATACATAAATATTAATATAAATGACTGAATGGCTTACATATCCATCAGGTTTAGTTTTAAATCTAATATCTTCAGCTTTTGGTGCTACAGCAACTGCTCCTGAAAATAATAAATACAAGAAATAAAATCTTAATCTAGATCTTTTTCTTAAATGTAATAAATCTGATTAAAAAGCTTAATAAATGAAGGCACCGCCGAATGATTAATATGTAATCTGAGGATGGCTAGTGGTGTGGGTTTATTACTTGTTAAGGGGCAAGTTGTTGTTTCCTTGAGCCAGAAACTTTACACTCATTGCTTAGTACTTGCTGGTTCCAACAACAGTTTCAAAAGTGTGTTTATATAGATTCCTACACAATCAAACTAAATGAATTCAGTATAAACTATTCAGTATAAACAAAATTAAATAAATGAAACAAACATTCCTAAATCATTACCTTGAAAGACTGACTTTTTTTAAATTAAAGTTGAAGTTATTTTGCAAACAATGTTTGGACCAGCAACCGTTTTATAAAGATTAATTTACTAGCATTATTTTAGCTGTGTTGAAATGTTATAGATACTGATGCAGCTATTACTTTACTTCACTTCAGAAGTCCTGAATACAAGATGAAGACTTAATTTAAACTTACCACCACCCATTTGGGCATACTGCTGTTCTGGGGTGAGAACCTGTACAATATTTGGATATAAGGCTCCCACTAACAAGGCAGATATCAACTTAAGATTCTTAGAGTTCAAGTTGGCCTGTAATATACATATATAACATACTCCTTGTATTTCCATGTAACATTCATATCAAACATAATAAATGATAATTTTACTTCTTATATTTTCATATGATCCTGCAAAGTAGTAAACATAGCACTTTGGTTTAAATTACTTAAATTTCTCAGCAACTCTATTAATTCTTGATACCATTTCTATATGAACAGCATCACTTGCTTTCAGTATCAAAATGAGCACAGTTTTCATCAAATATCAAGAGATAAAAACATATTTTATTTAAGCAATTTACATTAGAGAACAAAAAGACACCAATAAATTTTTGCTGTCTAAATCATTCACTTTATTGTCTAAAGCATTACAACAAAGAGGGAAAAGTAAGTACTAAATAAGCAATTTAAGAACACCATTCTCCATTCTAGTCAAATATTAAACAATTTAAAAAAAACTTAGGTCCTGTAAGAGTGACCACCTTGTCATTTAACAATTTAACACACCTCAGGTCCTGTAAGAGTGATCACACCATCTTCACCATTTCTTGCCGCTCTCTCTACATCTCTACTAGATATACCTTCCTTCACGAACCCAATGTCTGATAACAACTCTACAAACTGTTGCTTCATACTGGACAACATCTAGTAAAAACATCAAATATAACAATATATTGTTATAAAACTGTGGACATATTATAGAGTATGTACATATAGTAGCTTGTTCACTTATTATCACCAAAATACTGACATTATTTAGATGTATACAAGTATCTTTTCATTATGTTTTGTGAATAAAATGGTAAATCAAGCTTAATTGGAACAGAACAAGAACCAAAATATTAAGGCCTTATTCTGCTAAAATAATCATCTATAAGTAAAGCTAAAGTTCTGTATCATGACTATAACTTTGCCAGTATGATGTGTGTAATGTCTCCTTGTATGAATGAATTGACCTATTTTACTATTAAAACCAAGCCTTATGCATGAAATCACACATTTCTATATAAGACGTTTTATCAAAATGTTGAAAATTAAACTTTTAATTGATATCAATATAACATTACCTCTAAAGACCTTTTAGAGAGAAAATTGTCCTGACAGAAACGATAAGCCTCCTGTCCACCATTTTTTCTTGCTTCCTTCCAGGCCTATAAATAAATAATTAAAATAATTTTATCATGTATTCTACGTATAAGCTCTCCAAAGACTATAATCTTTCTAGTGAAAATACAAACAATAACTGCTTGTTTGTCATCTAAATGTTGACAAATAAACACTCGAAGATTACTACCGTTAACATTCCAGCCTGAATTTCTGTATGTCTGTGATTAATAAAATAGAATTTAACCCGTAACCTGATGAATTTCTCAAATGGACTTTCTATCTTTTGGGACTGTTCATAATCAATTTTGGGGGGGATATCAAAATCAACATTTTATAGTAAGTCAGCCAACAGTCTACAGCTTAATCAGATTGCACTGTCATGTAGGCTGACCTGAATCTATGCTGGTGGCAAAGTTTTGATTCCACCAGGTTAAAGGTTTTAAATTTTCAATTTTCATTACAAGGTATATATTACTTTGAGAGCTGGTTGCAAAAGGATATCACTTATATAAAGGAAAAAGACCCATAATTGTATTAATTTCTTCCATTGTGTGAAGTTGAAAACATTTTTATTGATTTGATATATGAACTTACATTATATGCATTCAACATTGTGAGATGATCTGAATTTCCTGCAGCAAAGCCAAGTTTCTTCTCTGTAGCCTCATGTTTCTTACCAAACGGTGTCACCTGAAATAGAACATAATGCTTTTTTCTTTCATTTGAAGTTTTTCAAAAGATAACATATAGTTTACATGTATAATAGGTATGGATGCTGTTTCAAGTTACTATACCTCTAAGGAAATATGTTTTTTATTGGGTTTTACATCGCACCTTCACAGCATAAGGTAATATGGCCATTTGTCAGCTTTTACTGGAGGAGAAAGACCTCAGTTGCCCTCTGTGTGTTATTTCAGGCATAAATCGGCATCTGAATAGAACAACTGACTTTCACTTAGCAAAAGACGCGCCTTAAGAAATAAAAGAATAGCTCCTCTATCTCTGATAGACATATAATCTAAATGCCAATTTAAGTATTATGTCAAGCACCTCTGACCTCCCCCTGTAAGCAAGCCACAAATCCTTTTCTTATCTATTCATGTTCACTGAGATTTCAACCAATTAAAATCCACAGTCATCTAATTAACCCAATTATTTGTCTATAACCAGATCTAAACCACCATCTGCAAGTAGCTATGGCTCTGAAACCACTGATCTTGCCACTAGCTCATATATAGACACTCCCAAACTGATGCTAGATGGGAAATAATTATACAGTAAAATATAGCATCATCAAGTACTTACAAAAGGAGATTTAAAGCTGAGACAGGCAGCTATAGTTAAAGCTGGATCTAGACATCTAAATATAGCACCCAATAACATCAACTTTCCTATCCTGAAATAAATAAACATTTATTTAACTCTTGATATTAAAACTGAGCCATGTATGTTACATGAGTAAAACATGTATTGGGTAAAAATTAATACAGCATTAGAGTTTTAATCTTTTTTTAAATTCATTTCTGTAGTGCAAATGGCTCTTTGAAGTCTATATATATTAACAGTCATGTTTAGCGCATAAATCAGGATCACCCTTTCTTTATGAATGCAAATTGATAGTTTTCTAATAATGTTATAAAAATCATGAAGGTATAATTAAGTTTCTTGTTCTTTTGCTTTGATTATATATTTAAACATGGTTCACAATACTCCTCAACATTAGACTCTGGAAATTAAAAATACATTTTACATGATATATATTGTTAAGAAAGATTATTTCAGATATGGTATCAATAACCAAATTACATTGACAAAATTACTTCTCCTCTATAAATTAATTGACATAATTAATACCATCAATTCTCTTCCTATGTTTTGTTTGTTTGATTGGGTTCTCGTATGTCACACCGACACAGTATAGATCATATGGTGACATTCCAGCTTTACTGCTGGTTGAAGACCTCAGGTGCCCTTCCAAGCATTATTTCGGGCACAAATGGGCACTTTGAGTGGCCGCATGGCCGATTAGTTAATGCTTTGGACTAGTAATCTAATGATCGCTAGCCGCATAGGTTCATACCCCATCAGGGGCAAGTCATTATGTTTCCTTGGGCAAAAGACTTTACACTCATTGCTCAGTCCTACACAATCAAACTAAAATAAATTCTGTATAAACCAAATGGGCACTTGAGTAGCACCACCGACGTTGGATAGCTTCCTCACATGAAAGAATCCAAAGTCGGGATTCAAACCCACAGCGGTGAGGAGCAAGTAGTTTGAAGTCAACAACCTTAACCATGCCTCTCTTTCTATGAGGGTATGTCAACAGAAACATGTCAGTGTTGTGTTGTAATTTTGCACAGTTTGTAATTTTGAATTTAAAATACTGGACAGTTACTCAGTCAGACCTAAAGTTATTATCACAATACTGGGTATTTGAACTCTAAAAATGTAGTACCAGTATTATATGAAAACAGAAGTTAGTAAATTATATAATAATTTGAACCTACCTAACATCTACAGGTAATGTGCCGAGATGATAACCAAGTGGTGTCAGTTCCTGTACAAATATAAACATATTTACACACTTATATACTGTTTACAATACTTATTTTGCTTGTTACAATATAATTCATATAATAATTATATACAATGTAAATTTCATGTTTCAACAAATTCAAGTTGATTTGAAAATATTACAAATTTCAGCTAGAAAATTGGGATAAAAGGCATTAATTCTGCATATCTAATCATTAAGAACAAACACAGTTACTTACCCCTTGACTGTCTAAGGCTCCCAGTACTTCTAGCCTCTTGATAGCTGAGGTGATAGCCTCATAGTCCGGGGGCTCAGGTAACTTGTGTAACACAACCTGAAATATATAATATTAACATATAGAGGATTTTGAATAAGTGCAGGTTCAATACTGAAGGTAGGTATTGAATTTATTGAACCAGTTGAATAAAATAATGATATGCAGGCCTCTGGCGTGCATATTATTTTATTCAATGAGTTCAATAAATTTAGAAGTTACGCTTAAAGTGTAATGCTAACATTCAGCGTGTCTTAACACTATGTTTGTAAAACACAAATGACGTCGTGTCAAAAAATATATATATACGGCCATGCAATACCATTTTTATGGCGTCACAAAAATGGCACGGGTATGTGATAAATAAATATATGTCATATTTCAAAAACATATGTTTCCTTACTTATACAAGTAAATTACTGTATCATTAAACCTTATAAGAACTTCATCTAGTAGTATTATAAATTGATGTCACCTACACAGAATTGTGACAGGATCTAGTACAACAGTAGACAGTTTTAGAATCGCTTATCTTATATGAATGAAGAAGTTTGTAATTTAGTACTGTTCAATTAGTTAAAATGGTGGTTATTGTGTTATGATAACACCTATTTTATTACCTAAATTGTGAGATGATACAGTCTTACCTCAATACTTATAATCATTTACTATAACTTCTATCATATTTTCAAATTAACAAGGAGGAATTTTCAAATGACTCACTTTTCTATATGCATTTATGCCAGTCTCTTAAACAGTATAAACAATGAACTTGTTGCTTAAACATCTTAGGCGGTCAACCTTTAAAACATTTTATTAAAATGTTTATGTAATAAAAAAGAAGTTTCTAGATTAATATTACAAGCTAACGTTGATTATAATTATATTATCAGATATTTTTGTACAACAAATGTTACCTCTACAGGAACTCTTTTAAAGATGTCCAGCATCCTTATTCTTAAACAGATCTGTTCTAGAGGAGCTCTCTGAATCTCTGTAATAATAACATACATAAATCATACAATAATTTTATATTATCTTCTATATCTAACTATATACCTGTCATAATAATGCAAAAGGCCCATCTCCTAAACATTTTCACAAACACTTTATGTCCATCAAAATACTCATGACAAATGAAGCATACCCTGTGCTATTTAAAGGTCAAATGAGACCTTAAATATTTTACAGACATCTGTTTTTGTCCACTCTAGGCATAAAACATAAATGTCAGGTACAGAAAATACAGATATTGGTTAATTAAAAATATACATGTAACTAACAAATTGGAAATCATAATATTATAAAGTAAAATCAAACCTTTCAGACCTCTTACCTGTTTGGTTATTCAACTATCTTGTAATAATCATTTTGTTAAGAAACTGTAGAGAAATATTGCAGACATGAAACCATAAAAACATACCTGGTATAGGTTGTTCCTGAAGATGGTGCTCAAACCTGTGACTTGTAAACAGATGGAAACACACTCCAGCTCTAACACGCCCGGCACGACCTTTCCTCTGTAAGGCATTTGCCCTTGACACCCATACTGTATCCAAACTCTCCATACCTTTTGTTGAATCATATCTGAAAGTATAAAATATATAATCTAACTTCAAAACAAACATCTGAAAGTATAAAATATAAACTCACTTCAAAACAAATATCTGAAAGTATAAAATGTACATGTATATACTAATTTCAAAACAAACAGTATAAACTTTTATGAAGATTATCCAGCTTTAATGGTAAATGCAGACCATTTTCACATACATGTATATACAAAATATTTCCATTTCTGTCATGTCAAAAAAACAACAACAGTAGAGTCCCTTTAAGTTATCATTACCTAAAGTAGTAGACCTGAACAACTAATTTACTTCAGTAACTTAATTACTCACATTTATCTCAGGTATCTTAGCTGTACAAATTACAATTGAATTCAACTTTCCTATAAATTACAAATAACTGATTTAAATACACCCTCCAACCCCACCTCAAAAAAAAGATTTAAAAAAAAAACACCTTCAAAAATAGTTCTAAATGTTAAAAAAAAAGAAATCATATACATTGTACATTTAAGAAATAAGATAACGAAGTCATACCTTTTTTCTTTCATTTTACCAGTATCAATAACAAAACAGATATCATCAATGGTGATAGAAGTTTCAGCAATATTTGTTGCTATGACAATCTTGGTAACCTCTTCTGGTGGCCTCCTTCAAATATATAATAAATAAATTATAATCACTTTTTGTGTATAGAATGAAAATCATATAAAAATGACATGTTTAGCAAACCAGTTTTGTTAAGTTTAGCTACAAATATGGTTTATTGCAATTCTGTGAAGAATTTTGTGTGTAACTGTTGTCCTCCTATTCTCAATATATTAATTCTTACATAAACAAGAGCTGTCAGAAGGACAGCGCGCTCGACTTTTTTAGTGCTTGCCTATAAAACAAAACTTTGACAGTTAAGGGCACACAAGACTTTAACTAGGAATTTCTAAGTACAAATCAAGAAACATTTTCACAGAGTTATCTTCTCTTGCTTACAGATAGGTCTCATGATGGCACATAAGAACTCCAACTTCCAAAGTAATATCTCAAATGGTTAAGTCAACAAGTGGACAAGAATGAAAATCTTAACTGAGTTTCTAAGTCAAAAAGGGCCATAATTCAAATAAAATCCTTAACAGAATTACCTTCTCCTGCCCATGTTTTTGGGACCATGATGGTAAACAAGTATTCCAACTTTCAAATTAATATCTCAAACAGTTCAGTCAAAAAGTGGACTGGTACTAAAAACTTAACCAAGATTCTAAGTCGATAAAAGGCCTTAATTTTTAAAACAAATCCTTGACAGAGTTACCTTCTCTTGCGTACAGATGGGGGTAATGATGTGAAATAGCATTAAAAGTTTCAAAGCAATATCTCAAAGGGTTAAGGCAATAAGTGGATTTTACCCATATTCAATGTATTTTCTAAGTCAAAAAGGGGCATAATTCTGTCAAAAACCTTGACAGAGTTATGTCCTCTTGTCTGTTGATGAAGGTCGTGATGGTAAACAAGTATGGTCAGTTTCAAAGCAATACCTCCAATGGTTTTGAAATAAAGTGAGGTGGTACAAAAAACTTAACCAAGCTCAATACACTTTCTAAGTCAAAAAAGGGCCATAATTCTGTCAAAAACCTTGACAGAGTTATGTACTCTTGTCTGTAGATGGAGGTTATGATGGTGAACAAGTATGGTAAGTTTCAAAGCCATACTTGTAATACTTCTGAAATAAAGTGGGGTGGTACGAAAAACTTAACCAAGGTGTGACGCCAACGCTAACGCTAACGCCGACGCCGGGGCGAGTAGGATAGCTCCCCTTTTCATAGAAAAGTTGAGCTAAAAATCAAGAAACAGATTTCAAATAGTATAGCTTTACAATAAAAAGACGAAGCAATATGTAGTTCCAGAATATCAAAATTCTTGAAAAGAACGTGAAATACCTCTGTATTTAATTTCTGAATATCTATCAATAAAATGGACCAAGCAGTTTCATTTATCATAACTAATATAGAGCAAATACCTCTGTTTTTAAAAGTTACAGGTTTACAAACCTAGGGTTTAGTGATATACTAATGAAATCTTACGAGAAAACAGCATGTTGATCCTCAGATGATAAGGTAGAATGTAGAGGTATTATCTTATACCTGAAAATAAAATCAAGCATATCTCATAATAATTTCAAACCTTTCAACAGAAATAGCAATTAAGACCTGTCTTTACTACAAATATACAGCTAGGCTAGCTAGGCCAGTCTGAACATCTGCATACTCTGACTAAGCTTTTTATTATTTCCTTGTAAATTACAGTTTTTCAACTTAAAAATCATTAACAACGAAGGTTTCAAATAGAACTACAAGTCCATCATACAAATTAGGTTTGGTAAGGGTTATAATAATTAGATTTGTCAAACTTTATCATGTGTATGCCAGATGATATATAACTCTCTATCATCATGAAAAATTTGTTCGTTTGTTTTGGTTTTCACACCAATTTCAACACATTTTGGTCATATCTGTGTGGCTGACGGAACCTAACCACCAGTATTTACAAATGTCTCTGCAAGTGACTGAGAACTTATACCTCAAGACTTCTGAATCAGTGGTAAAAGACCTATGACTATTAGAACTCAATATCCGAGATCAAATATCACGAAGAAATTAGTCCTCAACCAAGAAACAAACCAGTGACCACTGGATTACTAATCTGATGCTCTCCATAATAATAAATGAATGGTTAATTGGCAGTAGTAAAGACTAATCAATCAATATCAATTATGATAACAGGCCCTGATGAAATCAAAATGTAACTGTAAAGCTGCATTTTGATGAAACTTATTTGTTTGGGTTTTAGCTTGCACCATCACAGTATAGTTTCCAGCTTTACGTACCTCAGGTGCCCTTCTGTGTATTATTTCAGGCCTCTTAATGTCACTTCCCTACTATCATATTTTACAGGTGTCAAGCATGTTCAAATGCTTGAAAAATATGAGTATACCTTTACTGTCTTTTAAGAAAGATACAAATGAAAGTTGTTTTGGCAATAAAATTGTTTATTAACAATATATCGATACACTATTTGAAACTTACTTTAGTATCTTATTTTAGTATCTTTCTTAATTAGTTAAAAAGGAAAAGATCAAAGTAAAACCTACCTGTGTTTATTTCTACCACCAAACACTGGACTAGAGAGTAACATATCGTATAATGTTTGTATCTCAGCGTAACCTGGCATAAATACAAGGATTGCACCTTTCTCTGGAAACTGAAATAATCAAAATATAAATTATATGCACCTTATATCAATACTAGTCCATACAGAAAGCTTTATAAATTAAAAAAAAAACACATGGTAAATCAATGATATAATTCAGCAGCTAAGTGCAGGAATTAACTTGTCATATAATTTAATAGGAATTAACCCATTACTGCACTGAGGTGACAATATATAGAGGATATTCAATTTTTTTCTATAAATACATGATTTATTTTCATCGAGTGGTATGAAAATAAATATTTCATGAGTGGCGGTAGCCACGAGTGAAATATCGTAATTTTCATGCCACAAGATGAAAATAAATCATGTATTTATAGAAAAAACTTGAATTTTCTGTTTATTATATACATTTTTCTCTTTTTTGACATTTAAATTTGAAAGACTTTCCCTTAAATTTTGTGTACTGGCAGAATTTAAAAGAAAGTAGTCCGGCAAGACACCAGTGAAAATACGGAAAATATGTTTCACTGCAGTGAAAAATAAATTTTTACAGTGAAAATACGGAAAATGAAAATATGCATTTTATTTCATCAATATTTCTCAATATTTCATTTATAAGTATATAATAAATATGATATATTATGCTAAAATTTTATATTTGAAAAATACTGATAATTTCCAGACAGTATATCTTTAAATGTAAAATAAACATCTTCTGAGCACACGATGAGAAGATATGTTACATTTTAAACACTACACATTTTATATAAACACAGCATGAATACATAGTGTCATTAAATAAACAAACTGGCAGTTAAAAAAAAAGAAGAAAAAAAGACCAACATTATAAACTTGACCAGTTATAGGCCACAAAGCTTCCCAAACATTATTTTTGCATTCCCTTATTCAAGTTCAGACATATTTAGTAAGAATTTCCTAGATTTTAATTAATACATTTCTGCAATGGAATTATTTTACCTAAAGATGAGCATAGTATATTTTAAAACTCAATACCATATTATGCATAATCATGGACTATAATATTTATATAGACGATAGATGATCAATAATAACACACACTTTTGGTATAACTTTTAAAAATGTCAAATTATAAAACTGTCATTTTCAATTGAAAACAAAATAAAATACACATGAGCATATACAATAAATATAAATAAACATAATGTTAAAGATCTAACAGAAAAGAATAGCCATTATCAGAACACTTTAACATTGATCTTGTTGAGTTGTTGATATGATGATCATATATGAATCTACATAATTATTACAATACAATATAAATGAGCCGCGCCATGACAAAACCAATGTAATGCTTTGGCGACCAGAATGGATCCAGACCAGCCTGCACATCTGCGCAGTCTGACATGATCCATGCTGTTCGCTATCAGTTTCTCTACTTGTTATTGGGATTGTAAGAGAACAGCATGGATCCTGATCAGACTGCGCGAATGCGCAGGCCGGTCTGGATCCATGCTGGTGGCAAACGCAATATTATGGTTTTGTCATGGCGCGGCTCAAATGTCCTTAAATTCTACCTCTAGATCCTTATGATTTTCTGTGACCAACCAACACATCAGTTCAAGGACCAGGTCAAAGTTGATCTTTGTGTGATCCATTAATGCCATGTTCTTTAAAGTTAGTTTGTGAAAATCTACAATAATAAAATCTCAATACTATCTTGACATGTCACTTATCTAGTAACCAACTAGACATGTCACTTACCAAGTGACATTAATAAAAAATATGTATTAATACATGACTAATGTAATGGACTTGTTGTAATTCACGTGTTCATTTGTCTGTTTTTATTGTAAGGGTTTTCTACTTAAGTCAGGCTAACACTCACAGGGGTCTGACATTCTAGCTGTTTGTTCCAAAAAGTATTACAAAGAAAATGAAAAATTGCACTTTTTGCAATAATCACAGCATTTCAGTTATAGACTGATATTTGTTTTTCAAATTTAACAAGATTACAATTCAATCAAATATTGTCCTTGAAAGATAACCTCCAATACAATAATCTTTTATTCATCACAAAGTGAGTTTTACTTTAAACTTACCAGGATATCTCAGATATAGCTGTTTCACAGACAGATTTTGATCTTGCACCCTATCGCTTGCTTTATGGGCTGGGCCACTACCACTGTCATCATATTGCTCCTCCTCCCCGGCCACGCCCCTTTGTACAGCATTCATATGTTTCAGAGGTCTAGCATAAGGTGATGACTCTTCCATAACAAATCTGGAAAAGGTAAAACAAATTTATAGATCTTTAAGTTTCATTATAATGTAGATAAACCAATTATTGTTTATCCCCTTACTTATTTGAAATAATTCACAGACGTTATTCACACAATTATGGCTGTCATAGCACAAAATTTAGTGAATAAAACCACAAACAAAAGCTGTCTGTAGGACAGCAACGCTTGACTATTCTTAGTGCTTGATAGTAAAAAAAGCCTTGATTAAAAGGTAAAATTTTCTAAGTAAAGAAAAAGGCAAAATTTTTCTTTAAATCCATATTACAGTTATAAGCCTTGGAGAGAGTCCTATTATGCTCTCAAAGAAGAGTATAAAATTTAAACATGTTTCAAAGCCTTATGTCAATGAACTTTGAAAATATTTGAGGTATTACAAAAACTTTAACATAAATTGTAAGTCAAAAAAGGGGCATAATTCTGTCAAAATGCTTGATAGAGTTACCTCCTCCTGTTTACAGGTTGGGGTCATGATGGTCAACAAGTACATGCAAAGTTTTAAGGCCATTATATGTCAAGGTCTAAAAAAATATTTGAGGTATTACAAAAACTTTAATGTAAATTCTAAGTCGAAAAAGGAGCATTATTCTGTCAAAATTCTTGATAGAGTTACCTCCTCCTGTCTACTGGTTGGGGTCATGATGGTCAACAAGTGTGCAAAGTTTCAAAACCATATGTGAATGGACTTTGAAAATATTTGAGGTATTACAAAAACTTTAACATAAATTCTAAGTCGAAAAAGGGGCATAATTCTGTCAAAATGCTTGATAGAGTTACCTCCTCCTGTTTACAGGTTGGGGTCATGATGGTGAACAAGTACATGCAAAGTTTCAAAGCCATATGTCAATGGACTTTGAAAATATTTGAGGTATTACAAAAACTTTAACGTAAATTCTAAGTCGAAAAAGGAGCATTATTCTGTCAAAATTCTTGATAGAGTTACCTCCTCCTGTCTACTGGTTTGGGTCATGATGGTCAACAAGTGTGCAAAGTTTCAAAACCATATGTGAATGGACTTTGAAAATATTTGAGGTATTACAAAAACTTTAACGTAAATTCTAAATTCTAAGTCGAAAAAGGGGCATAATTCTGTCAAAATGCTTGATAGAGTTACCTCCTCCTGTCTACAGGTTGGGGTCATGATGGTGAACAAGTGTGCAAAGTTTCAAAGCCATATGTCAATGGACTTTGAAAATATTTAAGGTATTACAAAAACTTTAATGTAAATTCTAAGTCGGAAAAGGGGCATAATAATGTCAAAATGCTTGATAGAGTTACCTCCTCCTGTCTACAGGTTGGGGTCATAATGGTGAACAAGTGTGCAAAGTTTCAAAGCCATATGTCAATGGACTTTGAAAATATTTGAGGTACATGTATTACAAAAACTTTAAAATAAGTGGTTACGTCAGCGCCGACGCAGACGCCCACGCTCGGATGACTACAATAGCTCTACTTATTCTTATCGAATAGTCGAGCTAAAAAACAAGGACAATGAAATTTTGTATCTGCATTTAAGCTAGGTACACAGATATATAACTCATGAATCATTATTTTATCCCCATCTGATTAACTAATGGCAACAAAAGATATAATACAGTGATTAATGTTGCTATAATTGCAATACAGATGAATAAAGCAATGTCGGACAGTAAAACAATCAAGAAATAAAGTATATTTTAATATAATCACTCACTCTGTAAATTCCATTACATCTTCAAGAAAATATTGCTCTACTGGAAATGTACGTCCTGAAATAGAAAACGTGATAAATTCTACAACTTTGTTTCATACCACATCATTACACCTTACTCAATCAACTTTTCCCCCTCATACTTTAATATTTCTCAAAATATAAAAGAATATTAATGTATTCTGTACTCCTACACCATAAAAAAATCATTTTCTGAAAATATGCTTTGATTAGGAGTATACATCCTCCTTTACGGGTTAGTATACATAACATGTATTCTAACATGACGCGTTCCATAGTACTTGTGCTTGACATCTATTTGCATGTAGTGACAGAAACTTATCGCAAGTGATGGCAGTTATAATTTTTCACTCCCGACATAGTGGAAATCTGTGTTATAATGATCGATTTTTATATTGTAGAAAATATACTACTGCTTTTCTCAATAATATACACATCACTATAATCTTAAAACGTTGGAGACTTGCTTAATCCGGGCATGACAAAATATGAGTAGCGCATAGAGTAATACTAAGAGTCCAGGCACAAATTTTACGTGGACTTTAATGATGTTTAGAGCTATCCTTCCTGTCTACAGGAGTTTGGGTGTGTTATCGTTGCTGTTTAGTGATACAGTGTCGAGGCAAGTTCCAAAGCCATGATGGGCTATTAGATATCTCTGAAAAATTGAAGTGTGTGGAATTTTCGTTGCTCTGAATAAAATTCAACCTGTTTGTTATGGGCATGCGCGCGCTGACGGGCTATACTCGCTACGAGATGTAGTCACAATAAATCGTACAGGTCTGGCTAATAGTACCGTCATATTCTTAAAAGATACTGATATAAGAATCAATCAGGCAGGAATCTATATCAATATTATCTTTGCAATAACACCACCACGATCATTTTGATGTTACATTACAATGTAAATTGACAACAACATAATACTATAATTTCATACAATGAATATAGATCACAAAGAAAGCAGGTCCCCCACAACAAAACACCGACAGTCACACCCAACACACAGCACACAAACGAACAGTGCTTAGTCTAATATACAAATATTATTATTGTACTAATGTAGGTTAAAAGCCCATCTTAAATCTAATGAATTATCTTAAAGAATGCCACAAATCGCTAATAACTCTTGAACATATCGTGCTTATGATGCTTATCTGACCCCCCCCCCCCTCCTTTTTGAGCCTAAAGTACAGTAATTGAAAAATTACCTATTGAGCCCAAAACTTGTTTTCGATGGAGAATGTGCTATAAATAAGTTGATCACTCTAAATTCGGTGCCGCCTCTATCAAAGGGAATACATATAGGGGATGCCAAGAAGGAGGGATTGCCCACCTTCTGTGGAGGGATCTGAAGGGGAGTAGACCCAAAGAATCACCAGAAAAAATTTGGACTGCGTTAGTAGAGGCTAAAATGACCCCAGAGTTAAGATTATAAAAGGTAATAACGCTGTAAAACAACGTGAAAAGCTCTATTACATCCTATTCTCCAATTCATTTCCAGAAGAATCAATCTGCCAAGCACCAAACTTTGAAATCTATGGTTGATGGAAAAATATCCTCCCACGCAAATAGATGAACTTTCTAGCCAAAATTCCTGAGAATGACCCCTCATTGCCATAAAAGTAACAGGATAATATTAAGACTTTAGCATGTGGCATGTTACACAAGGCAGATCGGTCGCAGTCAACATCCTATGCCAAGTTATAATTCAGTATTGAAGCAGCGTTTTCATAGTTTTCATAGCAGTTTGAACTTGACTGGAGGCTTGCTTTCAATGAAAACAGGCATATTCTTCACCCATATGCTCATGATGGAAAGGTATTAAAATATATGCAATATTCCTTAAAAACAAAGTTGTATTGTAATGAAATTTTTTCACTATATTCTTATTATAAAGATATAACTAGTGACATAATTTAAGTCATATACAGATTCCTTTTGTATTGGGCGACATGCACAGCTATTTTGAAGGGACACAATTCAATTTTCCTTCAATAACAAAAAAGGAGAATAAAGTTGGTTTGTTTCCCTTTATATATCCATTTCACAACCAAACAAGGGAAGTTAAAAAATTAAGTTAAAATTATCCACCTACCTCACGGAAAACAGAAAGAAATAAATTGGGTCTTATATTGAATTTCATTGTCATATTCTTGAACCAAGACTTTCCAAAAAGATAAGTTTAAATACTATATATTTTTGATGAAATATTACAACAATTCACTGCAAATTCTATTTTCTAATTATTATTTAGTTAAAATGTTGTGTTTAGTCTTACTTACTAAACAACTACCAAAAATTACTAAAATTACCATTAGTATTAACCGCAAGCTTACAATTATAAATTTCCAATTGATTTATAGGGCCTAATGTGTAAGTTAATGCAAGCTCTGCGTAGACGGTAGTTTTCAACTAAGAACTGAGAGTAGAACTGAAGACACAATTTAAGTATCAAATATTAAACTATATGAATTACAAAAAGTAGAGTTAAGTTATTCATTTAAAATGTTTCCTATTTGTTCTGCAATCTAAAAAACAGCAAGGTAAGAATATAACTTATTTATGTCATGCAGCTTATTCCATATTTAAGTCAGCTTAAAAGAACCAAATCATATGGAGCAATAAGTATTCATTACTCTACAGTGCCTATGTGATAGCATAAAATCGTACACTAGATAATATGAACCCACAACCACCCCGGAAGTGACGAAATATGCACGACAATTTTATTTTTTTATGGCATAAATTAAACAAAAATAGCTAACATCAACTAAATAGTTAAGTAATTGAATACAAGAAAGCAATAATCTATTAATTGATGTGAACTGAAAATGCGAGCATGTAAATAAAGATATAGATGAATAACTTGTTATCAAAAAAAACAACACCACCGACAAAAACAAAAACCAACAAAAAAAAAACAAAAAAAAAAAACACACACAAACAACCAAAACAAACGAAAAAAAGCCAAAGAAAAAAACAACAAAAACGCCAAAAAACCAAACAAAAAAACAATACAAAAAAACCAAAAACCACAAAAAACAAGAAAGAAAAAGAAAAAAAAAAAGAACAAAAAAAAAAAAAAAAAAAAAAAAAAAAACAAAAAAAAAAAAAAAACAACACAAAAAAAAACACAAAAAAAAAAAATAACAACAAAAAAAAAGTCGCGATATTTTGACGAGTATATAAATGTCCCAATTCTTGAAATTAATCTGTTAAAGTTCGAGTCAAGTTAAGACTTATTTAATTGATAGACACAACCTTATTTCTTAAAGGGCTTCTTGTATCTTCTTTATTTAAAATTGAAGTGCTTCATGAAGTTTCAATCTGATTAAGAATGCAGGCTCTGCATGATTTACTTATTATAATTGTGCAGCTACATGAGCAAATGTGACACTATAATTTACATTCATAAGTTCTATAAAAATAGTGCATCAGCTAGACAATAATGATTGTCTTATTGATGTAGAGTTAAGTTCAATAACTTCGTATCAACAAAAATCTTTTTTTTTATGACATTGTGGTATATTAGTGAGATGTTTCAATCATAAGAAATTTAAGATAGTTTTGACGTTGTATAAATAGTTATCTTAAATTGATGTGTATATATTAATATTATCGACAGTTAAGTATTTGTTGTGTTGTCACATAAGAGAAAGAACATGTTGCAACAAAAGGTTTCAATATATTAATTTTGTTATCATAATTATTCGCTTGAATTTACAGCTATCCATTGGTAAACAGATTACAAGGGAGCCCAGAATCGGTGCTGTACCGATATTCTGTACGAGTTGAATTCATATTTATTAGATTTTCTTAAGGACAAATTGAAAATAATGTATATACCTTAACATAGAGAATGTTAGATTATAAAATAGATATGTGTGGTGTTATTGTCGGTCTCAGTCTGACTTTTCGGTATGAATCAATATTATTTTGGTTGCTAAATCATCCACCGAATGATCCATCTAAAATACCTAATTACGAGAAAGAAAAGTTATATTATTGAAAAAATTAATGTTGTTTCTTGAAATTTTTTAATATAACTTAATATGGGGAAATTAGTTTAAGAATTACATCTTGCTTGTATACAGCCAATATTGAAGCAACATTGCTATAGGTCGCCATTGTGGTTTTCACTCTCGCTGGTTATACCAAGTTATATCAGTATATTTACGATCGTTTAACGATGTTGAACTATTCCCTGATTCTTGTTGCTGGAAAAGAATTGAGGTTTAATTTTATATTATTTTTGATTGACTTGGTGAGCCTTAACTCAGGTTCCATACGATATTGAGCATATGGTAATTTTTCTCATAAAATGGCTGTTCTGGAATTTATGGATCGTGCTTAATGTGCCTGAAGGCATCCATACTACAAGTAGTTTTAGTTTCTTTAAAAGGGTAAGATGCAACAATATTTATGTCATGCAGTTTGGCTTGCTTTTACAGGAACTGGGAGCAATCCCATTTTTGTGGGTATCTAGTCATATATTTCTTCGGAGTGCTGACCCCAGCCGATGTTATCGCGTATGTTCAATGCAATATTATATTGAAAATTAGATTTATAGCTCCTCAATGGATACGGGAAGTATGTCTTAAATCAGCTCGGGTTCATTTTATGTTGTTCTAAGTTTCGATTGATAATTTTCGTGATTCTTTCTATTTTTACTAGGAACTGATGCTTATATATTAGCAGAAAGTTGATTGCTGTTATTGGATCCCATCTTCAGGGTGTTTCTGTTTGACCCTTGAAATGACTCTTTGCCTTATAGATCTTATATTCTTATGTGGTTTACTCTAATTCTCATATCTTTTATTTATATTCATGGGGTGTCTATTCTCTGGCACATATGTTCGCACATCGTCCATAGTGTTGACTCGGCCGTTAATCGCTCTCCTGTTATTGTATAATGATATTGTTAGTAAACCAAAATAAAAGTAAAATTGCAAGGTTTAGTTACACTCTTGTTGCGTAGCTCTAAGAATTCATTGTGTAGTAATAGTTCATCATCAGGGAGTTTTATTATCGCTTGTTTTATTTTTGAGTTAAGGAATCCAGTGAGACTAC